CTGAGTTATAGAGTCAACCTTCTTCAACGACACTCGGTGCCACACTGTCTGCTTACCGGTCTGCAGGCTTTTATATACGTGCCGTGATGCGCCCTGGACAACACCTGCACGTCAACTTCATCCCGTTATTTAGCTGTTTTTCACAAAGAAAAATAATTTTATTTAGAATCGATTAACATTTTTTCCTAACGAAACCAATTTTGTCACATGATGTTAGTTTAGCTGTAACTTTATTGAATAGTTATTAGCTGTTAACTTTAGGTAAAACTGTATTAATCTATATAAACCTAACCCAGCCTAATCTTGAATAACCAATAAAATATTTATAGGAGATTTAACTGAAGTAGAAATCAACGATCTGTATTGTGTACGAAAACAGCCGTATAATTTTGAGGAAATGTTGTGGCTTTAATTAGTAACTGTCTTTAATCCTTATGCAAGTTCCTCCTGTAACTGTTACATCCTGTTGTTTACCTTCTCGAGAGAACAATGTAATTGTTTACTGGCGAAATATAATCATAACTGTTTATTCTTGACCTGTATTATTATTATTATTATTATTATTATTATTATTATTATTATTATTATTATTATTATTATTGTTATTATTATTATTAATGTCATTATTATAATTATTGCATTCATTGGGAGCGCTAAACCTGTATGGACAATGCAGATCCTGGATGAATGGGAGGCATTTCGGTTCAGTTCAAGAAAGAGAGCTCAGGTCCAATTCCTCGGTTCAAGGATCCGTCACCAGCCTCAAGGAGGAGTTATATGGATGTTAGGAAACATATATTCAGCCTTAGAGATTGTCAGGAAGTGGAACAATCTGGAGAGCGAAGTTGAGTCAGGACCTATACATAGCTTTACGATGAGGTACTATAAGGCTCTTGGATCAGAGAGAACGTGAACCTACTAGCGACTAGCGATGAGGCAGAGCCAGAAGTTATGAGTAGACCCTTACATATAACGACTTGTACAGAAAAAACTTCCAGTCACCTTGGAGAATATAAGTCACAATAGTGTTGCTGACCATTACACAACTAACCCTCAACTGAAGAGAAAATATAAACTTCGTCTTTGATTCATTTCCAGCTGGTTATTGCTGGGGTTGTCTTGGGTCCTTCCTCTCTCCTCTTACCCTCTACATCTCGGTCATACACGAACAGTCATACACCATTCCTGGCCTTATGAGCCCAATTATACCTGTTCATAAAACTGTGAGACTGTGCTCTCACAAATTTCTCCTCCAGATTAATTTGATTCCTGGAAAATTACCTTTTAAAAACACTAAGACTCATTTGCATCTTTAACATCTACCTAGGTTTCTTTGTCCCCGGTACATGATACAAATAAAGAAGTCAAGGAAATATAGGGTAGAGTGAGGAATGTACTGCAAAATTTTTGTCACCATAAAAGTTTGGCGTAAAGTTAAAAACCGGAGAGTCGTTAATATTTCAAAGACTAGAAATATAGGAAAGGCAACGAACAGGAGATTTCAAGAGAGTAGAGAGTTACGGAGAGAAGGCAGTCCGTTTAGCACATGAGAAGGCACGGCTTATGAAATCGAAAGGGTAGCCAAGGCCAGAGAACGAATTACGAAGAGCGGAAATTTTCGAGCCAAGAAACTGAGGGGTCATAAATGCAGAGGGCAAGGAGAAAGAGAGAAGTAAGAACAGCTTTCTTGACATGGAGCAGGGTAAGAAAAGTACTGAATGTATATATCCCTGAGCATAAACTTGCGATAAACTAGAAAAGAATAGCCTGCAGCCGAGCGATGGACATGAACATCAAGGAAAGGAAGCAAAGCGTTAGATTCCCATTCAGCTGTGAACGTGATGGAAAAAGCAAGATTGTTAAGGGCATCGAGAAGTGGTTGGAAGAGACTGGAGTCATGGGGTCAAAGAGCAAAGATGTCATCTAGCGGAGCCAGAGGGAAGGACGCATACCAATAGTTGGAAGAAGAACAGTTTCGAAGTATTCCATGTCAATGTTAGCAAGAACAGGGGATAGAGGAGAGCCCATAGCAACACCGAAATTTTGAAAATAAAATTTACCTTGAAAGGAAGAAGAACTGGAGTCTGCACAAAGGTGAATAAGATCAAGGAAGACATAAGTAGGTATAGGGAGATGAAGTAACCCCATTGTCCTTCTCTCGGAGAAAATTGAGAACATCATCAAGAGAAACATTAGTGAGGACGGACTTCATACTATTGGTGTTCGTATGTGAGTATGTGTATGCATGCGCACATACGCGTCTGTGTGTACTTATATGTGGTTGTAGAGGACAATTCATAACTCCTGGCCCTACCTCTTCACTAGTCGCTAATAGGTCCACTCTCTCCCTGACCCAAAAGCCTTATCGTGCCTCTTCTTAAAGCATTGTATAGGTCTTGCCTATTCACTCTCTAGATTCTTCCACTTCCTGACAACTCAAAGACTGAATAAATATTTCCTAATATCGCTATAACTCACCTCAGTTTTTAGCTTTCAGTTGTGTCCTCTTTTTCCTGCGTCCTATCTCTGAAACACTGAAACATTCTGGCCCTGTCCACATTTTCAATTCCTCTCAGTATTTTATACGTCGCTATCACGTCCCCCATATCTCACCTGTCCTCCAGTGTCGTTATGTTGAGTTCCCTTACTCTTTCCTCACAGAACATAACCCTTACCTCCGAGACTACACTTCTTACAAACTTCTGCACTTTTTCCAGTTACTGACGTGTTTGACCATATATGGGTTCCATACTGGTGCTGCATACTCTATTATGGGACAAGCGCCCATAAGCTGCAGCTGTTACTTGATTGATGTGCGCCTCAAGTGTGCTCGGGATAATGTTCACCCTAAGATCCTTTTCTTAGAGTATGGTTTGCAGAATTTGACCACCTAGCGGCTAGGTGGTCAAATGCTGCAGTACTCAGTCTATAATCTTTGTTTTTCCCGAAGCTTCATGACTTTGCACTTGGTGGAGTGAAACTCGAGGAGCCATTTGATGGAAGAAGCTTGCAGCTTGTCCTCGTTTTACTCGATCCTCGTCGCGTACTCACCTAGTTGTGGTTTCAGGGGTCGATTCTCAGCTCCTGGCCCCGCCTCTTCACCGACCGCTACTAGATCAAACTTCCTTCTCCAAGAGCTTTATCAAACCTCTTCATAAAGCTATGTATGGATCCTGCCTCCACTACAGTACTTCCCAGACTATTCCACTTCCTGACAACTCTGTGACTGAAGAAATATTTCCTAACATCCCTGTGATTCATCTGAGTCTTCAACTTCCAAATGTGACCCCTTGATGCTGTGTCCCATCTCTGGAACATCCTGTCTGTCCACCTTGTCGATTCCTCTCAGTATTTTATATGTCGTTATCATATCCCCACTATCTCTCCTGTTATCCAGTGTCGTCAGGTCGATTTCCTTTAACCTCTTCTCGTAGGGCATACCCTTTAGCTTCGGGACTAGTCTTGTTGCAAACTTTTGCACTTTCTGTAATTTATTACGTGCTTGGCTGGGTGTGGGTTCCAAACTGGTGCTGCATACTCCAATATAGGCCTAACGCGCAGGGTGTACAGGGTCTTGAACGATTCCTTATTGATATGTCGAATGATTATTTTAGGTTTGCTAGGCCCCCATATGCTGCAGCAATTATTTGGTTGATGTGCGCCTCAGCAGATGTGCCTGGTGTTATACTCACCCTAAGATCCTTTTCCTTGAGTGAGGTTTGTAGTCCCTGTACTCCGTTTGCGGTCTTCTTTGCCCTTCCCCAATCTTCATCACTTTGCACTTGGTGGAGTTGAACTCCAAGAGTCAGTTTCTGGACCAAGCCTGCAGCCTGTCGACATCCTTTGTAGGTCTGCCTGGTCCTCGTCCCATTGAATTCTTCTCATCAACTTCACATCATCCGCAAACAGGGACACTTCTGAGTCTATTCCTTCTATCATGTCGTTCACATATTCCAGAAACAGCAACGACCCTAGGACTGATCCCTGTGGAACCCCGATCGTCACAGGCGCCCACTCTGACACCTCGTCACGTAAAAATGGCTCGCTGATGTCTTCCCGACAAGTATTCCTTGATCATTGTAATGCCTTCAGTGTTATACTTGCCTGATCCTCCAGCTTGTGCACTAATCTCTTGTGTGAAACTGTTTCAAAAGCCTTTGTTCAGTCAAAGAAAAAGCAGTCTACCCACCCCTTTCTCTCTCTTGTCTTACTGCTGTCACCCTGTCACAGGACTACAGCAGGTTTGTGAAACAGGATTTCCCGTCCCTGTGTGTGTGTGTGTGTGTGTGTGTGTGTGTGTGTGTGTGTGTGTGTTGTGTGTGTGTGTGTGTGTGTGTGTGTGTGTGTGTGTGTGTGTGTATTCAGAAAGTTTAGGCTAAATGTATAAAGCTGCAGTAGGTCACATGACTCAAAAATATTTGATTCTGCGTAAAAATTTAACACTGAGTGAATACGTGTAAAATCTGCATAATTTTGCATGAGTGTCAGTGTGTAGGTGAGACCTGTTGTACCCAGCACAACTTTCTCTGGCGTAGCTGGTGCGGCCTTGACCAAGTCTGGGCTTCAGAGACGGGAGTGGACCCAGAAACCTGCCGTCATCCTCACCAATATTGCTTATGCTGTTATGAGTGAAAGCGAAATTTAAGTCTCTAATTTCAAGATATGTCTTACTATTTGGTAGTTATTTAATTAGACGGATACCAAAAGCCAGGACGCTAGCAGTTATTTAACTATATTTTCCTTGTAAATAAATGTTGTATAGAGAAATCTGATTTACCCTTTTTCATTACTTCGATCAAACTTGATTACCCCAGACGTTGTATGACATCCTGTCTCTGTCCACCTTGTCAATTCCTCTCAGTATTTTCTATGTCGTTATCATATCCCTCCTATCTCTCCTGTCCTCCAGTGTCGTCAGGTCGACTTCCCTTAACCTCTCCTAGTAAGACATGCCGCTTAGCTCCAGGATTTGTCTTGTTGCAAACCTTTGCACTTTCTCTAATTTCGTGACGTGTTTGACCAAGTGTGAGTTCCAAACTG